CGGCCGGATTCCCTTCTCGATGACTCTGACGGTAAGTGAAACTGAAGTATTATTACACATACTTGGTTTAGAACCCTCAACAGAACCCTCGTCGTCCCGGCCGCGAGAGGATTAGCGACCAGAATAATTATTTTTTTTATTTTTATAATAAATCATTACCTCTATCATGACACAACGCCTTCCTTCAACTTTCGTGGGGGGGAGGGGGGTTCCGTAGTTCTTTAAGTACTAAATAAGATGGGAGGTGGAAAAAAGAGCTTTCGTTGGTGGTAAAACGGAAAGGTCGCTAAGGAATGCCGTCCCGCAGCTGCATAATGCCGTATCGCGACTTTTCGCCATTGTTTCCATAGCGACCACATGGACAAAATCCGCTATAAATCGGTCATTGTATCGCGACTTTTCCACAGCGAGGCGCCGTCACCTCGCTGTGGAATTGCTACTAGGGTTACCTCACCTATAAAGTCAATCAGTCGATTATAAAAAACCGCGTGAGTGTACTGTAAATATATGCAAGAACGCACACCAACTACGATGACGAAGTGCGAGAGGAGCATTAGAAATTACCAGCGAAACCTGCGAAAACAGGTCGCTGAAAAGCACACTAACCGGACTGACGACCCGCGGGATATCTTTTTTGAAATTTCCGCTTCTTCATCTGTGCAATTTAATAAGACAGTCAGCCTGTGGGAAAAGTTTTAGTAATAAATGACAAGGATGACTCCGTTATACTTCAATTTTCTCTTTGATATAAATCACGAGTGGTGCACAAATTATTCCAACAAACACGGTTAAGGATGTAGCTGCGGATAATAATAACAATAACCAGTGCTCCCCGGACTATAGGATACAGTTTTGGGAAAGATCAGACTCGATCGCTGGGAGAAGAGCTTTATTAGGCTGAGGTTTCGGATTCCTGCTCGAATCCATCATCAGAGATAACAGCAGATATGGGTGCTTCAATCAATAGGAGCTGCAATTTTTATAGGATGCAGTCGCCATGCTACCGCATACCTATGATCATTCACGGCTCTCCCGTTCATACGGGATCGTTGCACTTGGTGTGCTAATTGTTCGATAGTCAACATTTGCGTCGTTAAGTGCTGCAATTTCATCACGTGTGTTGGAGCTTGGTGCGATGATTTCTTAACCATCTGACCCAACGACCCTGGCGTTGGGAACAGTGTTCACACATAAGCTCCCCGCGTGGTAAATTACTCCGCCTAGGCGAAGTCTCAGCACCGAGTATGGAAGAGGAATGTCATTACACTTGCTAATAGACTGGGTGCCACTAAAACCATGACTTAAGCACCTCACGGCTCACGCGGATATCGCCTCTTGCGAGAACTTCGACTTCGTCGAATTTGAATGTGCGACAACGCTGGAGTGTGTTCAGCCATTCGCGGTCGGAGTTGTCTCTGTCTGCGAGCTGCTTTCGTCTCTAATGAAGGACTCGAGCTGGAATACAAAACTTCAGGCTAATAAAGCTCTTAACTCATGATCGTCTCCTTCTTTCACATTACTTCCTGGGACTCTTCTACTAGCTTCTATTGGCAAACGTTTCTACACATGTTAAGTGTGGACGGTATTCGAGGTTGTTTGGCATTGTCCTTGGTCCGCTTTAAAGCAAGAACGGCAAAAGCAGAACAAGAACCGCAAACGGAACTGTCTCTTAGGACGAGTGCGGGCCAATAATGTGAAGATAGTAAATAATCTTGGTTATGTGCCTTACAAAGCCAGACTTGCTTAACTTGACTTGCTTTCTCTACATTAAAGGTATATTCGCGATGACCTCGTTCAGACCTACAGTTCAGTTCAGTTCAGTTTATTGAGGGAAATAGGCCTAAACCTTTGAGTACCCTATTTGCAACGTAAAAAATGTGTGGTGTACAAATAGATGTTCTGGGCTGAAATATTTCGAATACGCCCATAATGGTGGGACAAAATGAGAAGGAGTTACAGGGGGTGAGCTCGACTTCTCATCGCTCTTGGTCATTTCGGAACATAAATATGTCCAGATTCTTCTTAAAACTTTGTATAGATGGTGACATCACAACATCTGCGGGAAGCTCATTCCACGGTTTGACCACCCGAACCGAGAAGGAGAACTTCCGCACATCCAGCCGTGCCTGCTGAGTGCGCAGTTTTATCGGGTGACCTCGGAGGTTGGTCGTGGTAGCAAATTCAAAAAAGTCCTCGAAGGCCAGACTGCAATCCAATCCCTTTAAAATGCGGAAGGCTTGCAAGAGATCTCCGCGAAGTTGCCTGTAACTCAAAGGAAAGAGGTTCAGATTTACTAGGCGGGTAGCATAAGGAAAGGAGCTTTGACCCCTAACCATCTTCGTGGCTCTCCTCCGGACTCTTTCTAGGCAGTTTTGATCCACAACAGCCCACGGCCTCCAAGCTTGTATGCCGTACTCTAAATGCGGCCGGACAAATGTTCCGAATGTCTTAGAGAAAGCATCTTCGTTAAAGTCCATAAACACACGCTTGATGGCGTACAGTACGGACACTGCGCCTTTTGCCACCCTCGAACAGTGGGCGGATGGTTTTAGGGAACTCGTCGTAAGCACACCGAGGTCCTTTTGGGCGTCGACCTCTTGTAGGGCTGCACCGCCCAGAAAGTAGCCTCATGTGCTGGCGGATCTGGCTGTGTTGCCTAGGCGAAGTATGCTACATTTGGCAACGTTGAACCGCAGGAGCCAACGGTTTGACCACTCCTCTAACCGATTCAGGTTCATCTGCAGTCTGTCTTCATCGGCAGGACCCTGAATTACACTCCATATCTTCATGTCATCCGCAAACATTGCTACTTCACAGTCTAAATCTCTTGCGGCATCGTCCACGTAGATAAGGAACAAAATGGGTCCCAGAACTGAACCCTGGGGACACCACTATCGACCATAGCCGGATCTGATTTTCCCCGACCGACGCACACAACCTGGTGTCGACCCACAAGGAAGTTTTCGATCCATTTAAGGAAGTTGCCACCGATCCCTATTTTTTTCAGCTTATGTAAGAGCCTTTGGTGTGGCACAGTGTCGAAAGCCTTCTGGAAGTCGATGAAGGCTATGTGGACCGCGTGCCTGTCGTCAAGAGCTCGGGTGCAGCTCTGGAGAGATTGCAGCAGGTTTGTCGTGCAGGAACTTCCTTTTCGGAACCCATGTTGGCATTACGATAGCAGGCCGTGAACTTCCAGGAATTGCATCAGTTCAGTCTTTATGATCCTTTCCATAACTTTGCAGAGAATGCATGTCAAGCTTATGGGCCTGTAATTTGCCGTCGCTGCCCTGTTACCTCCTTTGTGTAGCGGAGTAATATGCGCCAGCTTCCAATCGACAGGAAGTGTTCCAGTGTCAAATGACGTTTGAAAGAGCATCGACAAAGGCACAGAGAGCTCACTGGCAAGTTCCTTCAGAAGCTTGGGTGGAATCTCATCTGGTCCTGGCGACTTCGATTCGTTCAATGCCTCTAAGTCTCTTCGGACAATGCCTTCTGAGAAGAGTATATCACTGACGATTGGAGTCGGCAGTTCTTCGGTGGATGGAGGAAGGAACCTTGCCTCGTTTGTGTAGACTGATTGGAAAAACCGTGATAAATACGCAGCTTCGTCCCTACTATGAGCGATCTCAACGCCATCAGTAGTCTTTATCAAGGGGATTTGATGCCTGTTCCTTGTAGTTCGTCGGAGGTAGCTGTAGAGCAAGTTTGGGTCCTGCGTTGCTTTTTGTAGCAAGTTCTTCTCGAATTCCCGCCGCGTCTGCATTATCAGCTTCCTCAGTTTGTTCCTCTGTGTCTTGTAAGTGTTGAAGCATTCAGCTTGTCTAGTGACGCAGTATTTTCTCCACAATTTGTGCTTCCTGTTGATTTCTTTCTTGAGGTTACTATTTAGCCACCCAGGGCGTTTGTTTAGTCTTACACTAGACAGTGGGCAGTGGTTGTTGATGAGCTGCAGGAGGATATTCTTGAACAGCTCCCAGTCATCGTTGGCAATTCCCTTAAACAGTGAGCTCTAGTCGAGACCGGATAAGTCTGCCCTCATCTGATTGAAGTCGCCCCGCCAGACATTCCGTCTTTTGTGGTCTGGAGTATGTGAAATGACAGTTCGACCATCGGTTTCGATGATGTCCACCATGTGCCCCACAGTTGCAGCAGCAGTGGGAGCAGGGACGGTGACTTACGCAGGGGTTTATACTGCCAGTAGACTTGCGTGGCATCTACCTAAACTCTCTCCTACTCCCTCGCCCGAGCCCGGTGTCAAGACAGAGTCCGGACGACCGGAGACGAGGGAGGCCGCAGGTGGATATGTCGAACGGATCCTCACCTTGGCGTTCCACCACACCCCCAGGTCCACACAACAATAACCAGGATTTCAACCAACACAACAGAGATTTGGAGGCTGGCACGGCCGAAGCCGCACCTAGGCGTACCGTCAACGCCTGGCTTGGATCCCACACTGTGATGGGAGTGCCATAGATGCCACGTTAAAAAGGAGCCATTGCAGCCTGACTCTCAGGCCGCCTCCAGTCAAGGAGGAGGTCCAAGTTACCCCGTCAGTTGGTAACCTTCCAAGCCACGGCTTTTAGCGCACCGTGATAGCTTCAAGCACGTCAGATAGTTTATAGTAAGGAGATAGTGCGCTGAGTCGTCGACCTCACTCTCCCTTCCCACTCCCATACCCCAGCCGCTGTCCGAGCCGGTCAGCAGAATGGAGTTGGGAATGGGCGCGGTGGCTGTCATGGTCGACTAACCATGACTGCGCGCGCCACGGCACGACCTGGCCCCCATACACACAACACCAGGATTTCACACAGCGGGGGTTGAACGGCGTGTCTCTCACTTGCGTGAGAGGGCCGTGGAAGGTGCAGCTAGTCCGCCACTAGTCCGCCACTCCACACAACACACACACACAACGCGACGAACTGCGTGAGCCGAGAGCGGGCGTCAATCAGCAACCTTCCTATCCACGACGCTTGACGTGCTGGGATAGTCTCGGACTCAAGTCACCCGTGCAGCCGAAGCCGCATGGAGACCGAGTCGAGATGCGGACTTCCCACTTGCGTGGGAGGTGGCAGTTGGGTGCGTGTTGATGTGTGGTGGTGATAGTGGAGGAAGGTAGGGAGTGTGTGGATGTGTGGTGTAACCGGCGGTTGTCTACCGCAGGTCATCGTGGATACGCATGTGTCCGAAAGGCCCATGCGATGCCTGAAAGTGCGAGGGCAGTGCGGGCAGTTGAGACGAGCTTGGTGGGTATAGGTGGGTGCTCCAGGCACTGGTTCGCCAGTCTCTATGCGATGGATTCGCAAGTGACCGACCAGGCCGATGCGTGAGGTGAACGTGCGTGGGCAGTGTGGGCATGAGAGGTCCACGTTGTCGGTGTCAGCTGTAGTGGAAGCAATGATGGTGGTGGTGGTGATGGGCGCGTGTGGCGATGGAGCGAGGGCGGTGCTGGGCCTGATGGGTGTGTTGGATGTGGTGGGTGTGTCAGAATTGTGGTCAATTCCGCTCTCGTGAATGCGCATGTGGCCGAATAGACCCATGCGAGGCGTGAAGGTGCGAGGGCAGTGTGGGCAGTGTGGGCAGTGGGGGCGAGTGCGGTGTGTGTAGGTTGGTGCTCCAGGCACTGGCTCGCCACTCTCTGTGCGATGGATTTGCAAGTGACCGACCATGCCGATGTGTGAGGTGAAGGTGCGGTCGCAGTGAGGGCAGGTGTTGTCCTGATCCTCATCGCTGGAGTAGGGAGAGGTAGGGGTGGTGTCTGTTGTTGTGTCGCGGTTGGTGATGTGCCGTTGGGGCAGTGGTGGAGGAGGATGAGGAGGATGATGAGGAGGGGGAGGAGGAGGAGGAGGAGGAGGAGGAGGATGGAAGTGGTGGGTCAGAAGAATTGTCAGAGTTAGTTGGCGGAGGAGGGGAGGAAGAGGCGGGCGGGGGGACGATGGTTGGGGCAGTTGGAGAGGCGCAGTTGATCCGAAGGTGTCCAACATGTCAGATTCGAGCCACGAATGTCCGTTGACATTGAGGACACGTTGGAAGCGGTTGTGCAACGGCGTTGCGTACTGGGAGAAGTTGTGATTTGCGGGCTTCGCGTTTCACTTTGGCGGCAGCGATGCGGTAAGCTTCGTAGATCGCAGCGCCTGTCTTCACTGTCCTCCTCCAGGTCGGTCGATCGAGTGCGAGCTTCTCCCAGTCTCCGTAGAAGAGTCGTTTGGGAAGTAGTTCGTCGTACATGCGCACCAGGTGGCCGCTCCAGCGCAGCTGCAGGTGCCTCAGTATGGCGTAGATGCTGGGGATTCCTGTACGTTGCAGCACATCCGTATCGGGGATGCGATCCTGCCCGTTCAGTCTCAGGATGCGACGAAGACAACTGAGGTGGAAGTGGTTCGGTCGGCGTGCCTGCTTTGCGTACACCGTCCAAGTCTCCGCTCCATACAGTAGTGTCGGCAGGATGACGGCCTTGTACATCTTCAGCTTCGTGCTCAGCTGAAGACCGTGGCGATTCCAAACTGTGCTTTGGGGGCGACCGAAGGCTTGACTGGCTTTCGAGATGCTGTTGGTGACTTCGTCGTCGATCTTGGTGTTGCGGGAGAGAGTACTGCCCAGGTACGGGAAGTTCTCCACCACTTGCAGTTGGGTCCCATTCACGCTGATTTGCGGCGGCTCGTTGGGGGCTGTGGATGAGTCGGGTGGCGGTTGGTGCATCACCACCCTCTTCTGCGTGTTAATGACCAGACTGAATTTCTCGCAGGCGGCGGAGAATATGTCCATGCTGCGTTGCATCTCCTCTTCCAAAGTGGTGTTCAGGGCGCAGTCGTCGGCGAAGAGGATTTCGTGATCTGTGGTTGTGGATACGCGCGATTTGAAGTGCATCCGCCGTTGATTCAGGAGGTCACCGTCCGTCCTGTAGGCGACGCGGATCCCTGGGCGGTCGTCGCGGTACGCGTCCATCAGCATGGCAGAGAACATAAGACTGAAGAGGGTAGGCGCCAGTACGCATCCCTGCTTCACTCCATTGGTCGCTGCGAATGCGTCTGAGACAGCTCCGTTGTCCGTGACTCGCGCCATCATACCGTCGTGCAGCTGACGTACCATCTGAGTGGATCGCTCCGGACAGCCGAATTTCTGCATGATCTTCCGCAGTCCTTCACGATTCACCGTGTCTAAGGCCTTTCGTCAGGTCCACGAATGTAGAGCACAGGTGAGTCCTCATCTCCTGACACTTCTCCTGAAGTTGACGGGCGGCGATGATCATATCCGTGGTCCCACGATGACGACGGAAGCCGCATTGGCTTTCCGGCAGAAGGCCCTGTTCCAGATGGTTATTGAGGCGGTTGAGGAGGATTCGTGCGAAGATCTTCCCGGCGATGTTCAGCTAGGAGATGCCGCGGTGATTGTCGCAGACTTGGCGATTCCCTTTGCGCTTGTAGAGATGCACTATGGTTGCGTCCTTGAAATCCTGCGGGACTTCGCCTTGACGCCACATCTCCTGGAAGAGCGCAGTCAGGTGATCCATCAGTTGGGGACCTCCGTGCTTGTAAACCTCAGCAGGGTTCGCGTCCGATCCGGGTGCTTTCCCGCTGGAGAGCTACTGCACGGCGCTGATCGTTTCCTGGAGAGATGGCGGGAGGTCGAGGTCCACGTTGGTCTCTACTTGCGGCAAAATGCTCGGCCCATCGCTGTAGAATTTGTGTCTCCTCAGTCAGGAGAGTGCTACCGTCGGCGCTGAGGAGAGGAGCAGTGCCCTTCGTCGGCGGACCGTAGACAGCTTTGATCGCAGAGAAGAAGTTCTTCCATTCGTTGCGGTCCGCGTAGCCTTGGATCTCCTCAGCTTTGCGAGCAGTCCAGGCGTCCCGCATCTCGCGCAGTCGTTGCTGGAGCTGGCGGCGACTGCGATAGAAGGCAGCTTTGTTGTCCTCAATGGGGTGATCTACGTAGGCTTTGTGTAGGCGGTTCTTCTCAGCAAGCAGATGTCTGATGGCGGCGTCGTTGTCGTCGAACCAGTCCTGTTGTTGGCGGGGAGCGCGACCGAGGACGGCGAATGCCGTCGACCGGACCGTGTCTCGCAGTTGACTCCAGCGGTTCTCCACGGAGGCGTTCTCAGCAGCGGCGGCGTCGGCAGCGATAGGAAGGTTGTCTAGCCGTTGAGCTAGCTCATTGCTGAAATGAGGATGGTGAGCAGGCAAAGACAACAAAGCAACATTCAGCTTACCTGGGGGTCGCTTACGTTGTGGTCTCCTGCGGGGCTGTAGGCGAATACGCATCTTTGAGATGACGAGGCGATGGTCGGTCCACCCGTCAGCACCCGCGATCGCCTTCGTCACCAGCACGTCCCGCTGATCTCGCCTCGGACGAGGACATAGTCCGGCAGGTGCCACTGACGCGACCGAGGATGCCTCCATGTGGCCTTCTCTCGCTCCGGCAGACAGTAGAACGTGTTCGTCAGGATGAGGCGGTGTTCTGCGCAGGTGCGGAGAAGCAGCAGACCATTGTCGTTTGAGCCGCGGAGACCGTGGGGACCCAGCACTCCTCTCCAGGCAGTATGGTCTGTGCCAACGCGGGCGTTGAAGTCGCCAGGGACAATCAACTTGTCCGCCTTCGACACATTCGACAAGAGGGCGTGCAGGTCCTCGTAGAATTTGTCTCTGACGGCGTCGGGGTTAGTCATCGTCGGAGCGTAGCGCTGATGATGGTGGCGAATTGGCCCCCACTCCGGAGAGGCAGACGGAGGCTCATCAGGCGGTCGTTGATTCCCTGCGGCAAACAGGGCAGTCGTCCCACGATGTCGTTCAGGATAGCGAAGGCGATGCCCGCGTCTCGTCTCTCTGGCCTGGGCCGACCACTCCAGAAGAAGGTGTAGCCGGCACCCACTTCCTCCAGTTGGCCTTGTTCGGAGAATCGGGTCTCGCTGAGTGCGGCGATGCCCACCTTGTAGCGGGCGAGCTCTCGTGCCACTAGAGCCGTTCTCCGCTCCGGTCGGTTGCTCCTCGGATTGTCTAAAAGGGAACGAACATTCCAGGCTGCCAGAGTGAGCGGGCTCACCCTGCCAGTCTGGGGACAACGAGTGGGGCGACGGGAAGGAGGTGGAGAAGAAGATGACGAAGGAGAAGAATAGGCAGAGGAAGAGGTTGAAGAGGTAGGATGAGGAGAATGAGTATGGTTGTTGTTGTTATTGGTATTGTTGTTGTTTCGATTTTGATTGTTTCGACCATGTTTAGACGTCTGCGGCCCTGGCTAGCCTGGAGACGGCGTGGTACCCAGCAATGTTTAGGCCACCTTTTCTAGGCCCTTCCCCTCGTGGGGGCAGGCAGTGCCGCCCCTGAATCGGGCTGCCCAAGTGCATGGTTGGCGCGACCGAATCCCACTATGGGGCCACGACTTTTATATTTGTAGTGGAGAACGACCGCATATGCCGTGAGTCCGCGGTCTCCGTCGGCGAGGGTGGGCGCGTCTCAGCGAAGGCGATGCGGAGACCCGCCCCGGCAGGAGTTGTCCAAAGGCGTACCAGGCAGAGCCTCGTCACGACGATGCCGGCGCAGTTTTTCATCCGACCATCCATCCAGTGGAGTCCGCAGTACACTGTGCACGCGGCACAAGCGCACAGCGCCCTCACCTGGTTTAGCCCGCCGGTCGAGACGGTTGCCCGGGGTGTGGCCGCTGAGCAGAGCCCAGCTTCGTAGAGCCACAGGTGAGAGTTGGGTGCAAGCAAATAGACGCTAGGCGTAGTCTCACCTGCAAGCAAGTGAGCGACCACTACGACCATCACGTGAACCCACCGCTGGACACCCCTACACCCCATGTGAAATGGAGAATAACGAATAATCCCAAATAAGCACTACGTGATCACTTCGGCCACAGGGCGGCTTGGAGGTGATCTCGTATATGCTGTCTGGTGTTTTCGTAAAAACCAGATCCAGGCATATTGCCCTTTGTCCTTCACGTGTTCTCGTTGGAAACATTACATGTTGTGTGAGGCACGCATTTAATGTTTTGTTCAGCAGACGGTGATCGAATGCCGATTTTGGACCTGACGCTTGGAGGGTATTCCAGTTTGTCCCAGGTGCGTTGAAGTCGCCCATGATCATGATGTTAGGTCGACTGGAAGATTTCTCCAACTGCTCCAATAGTTGAGTGTCGGCGATTTGGTCTGTCCTAGGTGGTCGGTAGACAGTGAGGACATCGAGACACGGGGAACCGGTAGCCTTGATGGTCAACCAAATAACTTCCGTGTCGCACGCAAACTTGGTGGTGTTATCCGACACTGCCAGACCGTCATTCACATACACAACTATACCACCACCCTGACGATGTTCCCCGTCCCTTCGATAAATTTGGTATCCAGGCAAGGCTGCTTCGCTATTGCTAATATTCCCGGACAGCCAAGTCTCGGTTACTGCTAAAACATCTGGAGACAGGTCGACAAGGCAAAGTTTAAGCTCGTCTATTTTCGATATGAGGCTTTCGGCATTCGTGTACAAGCACCTCGGTATTGCACCAGCCGAATTTCCCGTTGTGTTTGTTACTGTTGTGAGAATAACTCCGTTATGTCGGACGCCATGTTCTCTGGGCTCTTCCATTACGTGATGGGTTCCATTTATATCCGTTGCTTCAGTCAGAACATTGGACGTTACGGGGTCACTTGTGTTGCCGCCTTGAGCAGGTGGTTCAACGAAGGTGTCTGTTTTAGCTGAGTAGCTGTCGTCGTTCGTAGTATTACAGGCTGGCTCCACTGAAACGGCATTTTTTTCCGAATTACCTTCCCCTTGAAGATAGCCAGATTGTGTTCGCCATCCTTCAGTCTTGATTTTAACTCCAAGACAAGTTCCCGGCGTTTCAACCGTTCCGCTGGTGAATAGTCCGGTTGAAAAAAACCTGTTTGTATGTGTTTCTGAGATCGGTTTTTTAGAGAGGATAAACCTGATTTGCTCTCTGTTCTCCAGCATAATTTTGAGAGGGCGAGGTGGTTGTGCTGCTGTCCTGTCTTCACTCCTTTTTCCTATCCGGAATGCTTTCAGAACCTTTATTTCCATGTCTGCCTGGAGTAATTGATTTAATAGACCATGAAAAGAAGCAAGGTCCTCTGAGACACGGTCTTCAGGTCTGACTGCATTCGATTCCGACAAAACCTGAATAACCAGACACTGCTGGCGAGCATGGTCCTCCTCACTTTGCCTTTCCGGTGAATTCGCTGCATGTGGGCGAGGACGATTTACGGAGTCATCGCTTGAACGCACACTTTTACTGTCTACCGACTGTCCCGAGCAACCCATCAGGGCTGGCTGTTATTTAGAATCCTGTCATGGCGTTTCCCTCTCCCCTTTACCAACGGGTTCATGACTTCGCATTCAGATACGTGCTCTGTAGTGCGCGCTGGTTGGTTGCCAGAACAAGAAGGTAACAGTAGACTGGATGACCCAGGTATATAATCTCCAGGCAAAAGAGAAATCCTGTCACATACAGCAAGAGGCTTAGGCGATGTGGCTTCCGCGCCAGGTAATTTTTCTGTGACATAGCTTAAGACTTCTTCCGTGGGATTGTTAGGGACTACGAATGTGCCAGGAAATTGATGAATGTTTCGAATCGGCTTGGATAAACCGTCTGCTTGGTTACCCACCTAAACTGCTGAGGACTTTGGTCAGTTCGGAAATTCAGCGGAACAGCTTCTCGTGAAAGGCCGTTGGAGATTGAAAAAGACTCCCCTCGATGACGGTGCTTCGAGACTCTGTTGAGTCATGTGAATTAATACTAAATACTCATTTCCCGAGAAACTATTGCACAAATAACCAAGATTGGAATAGTGACCGCAGTTTGCGCTGGCACATACATAGCGATGACTTGACACTTTCCGTAATTACTGCTGTCGAAGCTGATCCTATTGTCGATCCGGATTTGAAATGATAGTGTAAGAACGAAAATCAAATTTTATGAATGAACTTATTTTGGCTTGTCCTTCTTGAGTTTTTTTGGCACTGATTGCAGAGTTATTACGGCACGTAAACACGCTGGGCATGAATCGAACTGGAGACAAACAAAAAGAAGGCATAGGAATTTGTCGAGCGAAAAAATTATGATTTAAGGAAGTCAGATGATAACGAATTTTAGTGCAGCGAGAGGGTTAACTTACTTAGGAGGCGGTTTAGATAACTTAAAAGGAAGCTTGCACTAAGGTCGGCAGTCAATCCCGTGGTATTCCCGGGAAAAATTTCGACAAAACTACTTGTAGGCAACCGATACACTGATGGCTTGCACACTAGCCAACTGGGGAGCCTTGGTGGGAATTTAGATATGAACCTAACGAAAATCTACCCGAAATATTCTGTGACTAATTAGATGATGATACTGAATCCCGAGTGAGTCACCTAGATTAGGAATCCGATGGAACGTGCTGATTTTTGAAATGCGCCGTTATTTTCTGTGTTAGAGCACGATTTGGAATGCACAGGCTACCGATCACTGATACTCAAATGTAGTGGTCGAATAAAATTCGAAATATCATGCGCACGATGGGTGCTTTTAGCTGAGGTTACGAACTAACAGGTTGCACTGAGAGCAAGGAGTGTGAGATCGAAAAAACGAAGTGAAATTGCGGCTGTTCGGGCAGTCATAAGGAGCTGCTTATTGTTACTTTGGACGGCAGAGCCCAAAATACTTGCTGGATGATAGCGAAGATCAACGAACGTCGGAAAGAAATGTGAGTTATAAGTTCCTCGTATTCGAAAGGAAGACAGAAGGGCAATTTCTCTGTTCAGGAATATAACTGACAAAGTTTGCTTTAAGAAAACCAGACAGTATAGCTTATGTCCCAGTTTTTTCGTTACTGACAACGGTCTAATTCCTAGTCGGTTTGAAATTCATAAACAAGAGGGTGTCACGACAGGCGGGGAGACTGTAAACAAGTTGTCAGGGAAAAATCGAGTTTTAAGGCCCATTTCATAAAATTGTTGTTCTTTGCTAAAGACCGGGTATAAAGGTTTTAGAGGAGGAAGTGTCTTGTTTTAGTACTCAAGCGAGAGGAAAACAGATCAAGTGCTCCCTGATTTCATTTTTCAAAGTAGTGTGTCTGAGGTATGCTCCGTCTTTGATGCGCAGTAAATGTGAAAGATGGTGCCAGATTACGTTTGAAGTTTTATAATATTTTTGTCCTCGCGAAGCTTATTTTTGTGTTTTTGTTGTGCTGTCATTTCATGACTTCTGCATCAGCTTACCTATACGATTTTAATTATGCTAAAAAGTTCCTAGTTTTCACAGTCTCTTGCAAGCAGGTCATAGTTTTCCATGATACACATGGAATACTATTGATTTGCCATGCTTTCTGACTAGCCATACATGTGCGCACAGCGGGAATTTTTCGTGACATGAATTAGCCCGTTTATTTTGCACGCAATGCCATTTTCGCGAACAAACTCGTCAGTTTTTAGCTATTTGATTGCCTTAAGTTATTTTTCCACCTTGTGCGTAGTTTTTTTTCATGTTCTGTCAGTATCTTTCAATTTCTACATGCACCGTAGAGGGTATACCATTGACATTTTGCGCAACATGTAAGATGTTTTCGTTGAAATGTTTTGTGCCCTGTCAGGAGATTTCGGTTTATTCCATTGGATGCTGCAAATGTAATCCAGCCTCTCCAGCCCAGTTTAGACAAGAACAAGGGAAATTCAATAATCTGATCAATCTTTAGAATCTATTTTACAGGAGCTTGGCTGATGTACAGACCAATCCAGTGCTTGTGCGTTCTGATTAAGCATTCAAGAGCGCTTGATAGGAATCATTGGGGTCAGGCAAGCGGAGACACCGCCAATAGACATTCAAGCAATACTCACTAACACATGAAAACTCCACAACATGCTTTCCACTCTAAATCAACGAAGCGCTACCAAAACCGGACTATGACAAACTGGAGAAATCTTACAGCCATAAGTGTGAATAGTTAGCGCTTTCCATTACTACTCCTGTGTTCAGAAAACTCCCTAAAGGGTACCTAGTTGTGTGTCGCTGTTTTATGAACATTTGGTTAGTACGGAGTTTAATGATAAGACAGGACTAGTTTCTTTCGGATAGAAGAACTCTTGCATGAAATGAAATCACTCCCTAAGTATTGAAGTCACTGGGCCCGAGACTGTTTTTGCAGGTCACTTGTTCAAACTTCTAAAGGCAAGCCTTTGGCTTCTCCAGTCTGGCCCCTGCGGTAACGCTGCTCTTACGACTTCCCGGA